CCAGGATCCACTTTGGATGTCATTATGCGCTGCATATTAACAATGCAGCTGTGCTCTTTCCTCCAACCTCCCCTGAAGACTTTCGTTGTGCTTTCTTGCTTACAAGGGAGTTGCAGTGCTGGTGACCTCTTGCACTTTGCGGAGCAAAACACTTGTGCTGGAGAGGAAGAGCTGAATGTTCAGCAGTGGCCAGGGAACTGGAAGCAAAAGCAAATCCTCAAAAAGGAGGAGGAGAGTGTTTGGCAATACAGGCAAAGGCCAGGTTCTTCCAAACTAATCCAAGTTTAGTTGCGCAATAAATACACAGCTGTGACTTGGTTGTCATGGCAGAAGTGGTGGGGTCAGAACATCAGGCAGTGCTTTTTAAAATTGGGACATTGTATTTTCCCAGTCTTCAGTACTGCTGGAACCAAGGAGACTTAAGGCAGACATATTTCGCTGGAACTGTGGCTTGGAGGTCCCAGCCAGTCTGGGAGTTGCAATCCAATATATATTGAGGGCACCAGGTTGATGACTGCTGCTTTGGAGCGGTGGTTCCCATAGTCGGTGGTACCAAGCCCCGGAGGGGAGGGGATTACCTAGGAGGGTGCTAAGAGGCAAGGCAGGCAGCGGGCACTGAAGGTGTAAATGACCATCAGACTTTGAAAAACTGGTATCACTGAATCAAGTTCATCCATTCTGTTGACTTAATTAAATTAAATAGTTTTAACTGGATTTCGAACAAAATAATTGTTTGTTGCATTTAATTATTACTGTTTTAAATTTCATTATGTTGTTACCTTCCTTAGTGGATTGTGCAGACTGCTATTCTGAATAACGCTTTTTATAGGGTAGGGGCACTATATAAGTTTGGAACCAAGGTGGCAGGAGCTTGAAGGAAAGATGGGGAGCAACTGCTCTAGAGCATAACCAAGGTATAGTCTGAGCACGACCTTTGGGATTCCTTCCTATGAAAATCTTCCTAAATTGCCAGAAATCTGGAGTTGAAAGATCAAGCCTTAAGATTGGGGAGACACAGAAGTTTTAAGTGAGCTGGAGCTGGTATGACAGAGGACTCACTCCTCTAGCTAAACAGGTGCTGTAGGTTTCCCAACGTCTGACATAGGCTGTGCTGCAGCCGTCAACATCTGTTGATTCCTTGCTCCTTGTTTTTCTTCCTTTCTTTTATCCTTCCTTCCTTCCTTCCTTTGCCATATTTGGTGCCATTTCGACTGATTTGCTTTGCAGTCAGTTGCCGTAATGCTTTGTAGCTTCCGTCAGTATGTAAATTAAACCAAGCATAGATAGCTTTGTGCTGCTTAATGTTCAGCTGATAAAAATTAATGTGGTGTGAAATGAGCATTTTATCTGACTGCAGATACAGTGACGGAGTTAATTAGACGAGCAGAGCAAAATGTTATTAAAACATTGGAGGGGCCCTGGTCTCTGAGGGCTGGCCAAGCCTCAGGATCCGGGCGGGGAGGGAGTTGTCGATGGACAGCAGAGCATTGTGCTAAATCAGCTGAAGCAGACTCAAAGCAAAGCATCCTGACTACGAAGCGGTGCTGGTTAAGCAATTGGACATGACAGAAGAAGCCAGAGAGTGCTGATGATCATACGCCTTGGGTGCACGGGGGAAGGTTTGAGGCGAGCGAAAGGCTCCTGGCACACCAAGGAAGTGCATCCATCAGCATTAACACACGGTTGGTGGTGTCGTCTTGCCAGTAAGCATTGCCAGTTCTAAAGTTCAGCGTTTGAGCCTAGTTGGGCAATCAAGAGGCCTGAAAGCAGCAGAACATTTAATTTGGAGGAGCTTCTTTTAAAAAGCAAAGTTTCTTCCACGCCTCTAGCACACCCTCCAAGGTGTTCATAGAGGCAGCCAGGTGTTTATAATCTGAGCCCGACGTTCCAAGCTAGCGAATGATATCTTCAAAACCGGAAAAAGGCAACCATTAATGTTGGTCTCTGGACGAGCGTGGAGGCATGGGGAATGATTAGGGCAGGGGTAGGCAACCTAAGGCCCGGGGGCCGGATCCGGCCCACTTGCCTTCTAAATCTGGCCCGCAGACAGTCCAGGAATCAGCGTGTTTTTACAAGTGTAGAATGTGTCCTTTTATTTAAAATGCATCTCTGGGTTATTTGTGGGGCATAGGAATTCGTTCATTTTTCCCCCCCCAAAATATAGTCTGGCCCACCACATGGTCTGAGGGACAGTGGACTGGTCCACGGCTGGAAAAGGTTGCTGACCCCTGGATTAGAGATTGGGGAGACAGAATTTGTTTGGTTTGATGTTTATTGCAAGCTTACCTAATTCACAGTCCCCAGAATGATTTGGAAGCTGAAGGACAGTTGAACTTCCAAGTTCACCCTTCTCTGAATTTTGCAGTACAGTTCTCCAGCCAAGCAACATGTACACTAATGAGAATATCAGAGGTGATCATGTATAAAAATGCATAGATTAGTGAAAGTGACATTTTTTTAAAAAAAAGCATTAGATTGGGGAAACCTGCATGCAAAAATGTGTGCATTCAGAAAAATGTGCCCTAAAATGCTGATGGATTTTCATGAGCATTTTTAAATAGTAGTTGTAGCAGCAGCAATTCAAATTGATGTGGAAATGTGTAGATCAGAACTTAATACTGGGGGAAAATGAGAAAATGAAATCACACAGTCTACCAGGATGGGGGTCTTCACCACCCCACTACATCGAGACACTTCCTTTGTATTTAAAGCTATGAGCTTTTAGGGATAGTTGCCTTTGCCATGTATCAGGTTGAGAATAAAATTGAACCCCTGAACTAACCAACACTAAAAATGGCTTCATCATTCTCTGACTCCATACCGTAATTCGCAGCATAATCATTGCAGGTTTTATGCCAAATTTGTGATGCGAAAAAAGGGAGTGCAACCAATATTTGAAGTGCCCATCTGTGCCATGTTCCATGCCAGAGCTCCGACTGCCACTGCTGCTGCCCCAGAGGGCTGCCTGGCTGCTCGGATTATTGCCCGTCTGCCCTTGCCCTCTTCATCACGGCTTCTGGTCCCTGAGTCCACACCCGCCTCTCTCGCTTGCCTCCACCACCTGTGGCAGCTTATTTGGAGACAGTGGTGGGGTCCTTGTTTCCCACAGCCACCCAGCCTCTGGGAGATGGTTCTGCTGGGGGTGGAGGCAGAGGAAGGGGTCGCAGACGGGCAGTGGAGGTGGTTGCTCACCCACTGCCTCTCCTTCTTGGGCGGCATATCACGGGGCGCAAGCGCAGGCTTCTTATCACCCTTGTCTTGCTCTTTGGGCAAGGTGGAACCAGGGGCATAGGAAGGTCAGGTGGAACCCGGTGTGGAAAATTTCTTGTCACCCCCCCCCATTGATTTTTTTTGTTTTTTTGCCTGAAAAAATAGTGTTACGTTATTTCATATTTTCTTACAAAGGAATGTGGATTATGGGCCTCTAATAACAAGGAGGCAACTGTGGACAGATACTTAAATCTACAGGATGGATTGTGTTTTGGCTCCACTGAATTGAAATTTCAGCCTTCACGACATGAAAACGGCCAAGTAAACAGTTATTTTCGTGGAGGAGGGTCAAGATATTAACTGATATGCATGAAATTTCAGGTATAGCTATATAATCCCTAGTGTAGTAAAATAAGACCTTTGGAGCAGGCATTTTTTTAAAAAAAGTTTTTAATGAACCACCCTAGTAGGGCAGTAATTGCTCCTTTTTGACACCCCCCCTCCATGATGGAACCCGGGGCGGACCACCCCCTGCCCGCCCCCTTCCTACACCCCTGGGTGGAACAGCCCCACAGTAGTTCCTGGCCATTTGCTGTGACTCAGCCAAGCCCAGGGAAGCAGCCAAAGCGGCCTGGGAGCTCATGGCCGACACAGGGGGGTACGAGGGGTGCAGGGGCAGCGGTGGCTGGAGGAGGAAAGCAAGGGCCCTGAGGCCTAGCAGAGCCTCAGAAGTTACACTGCGACAATTATGCAGTGAAAGCTTTGAAATCAATTTTTGGGCCAGAAAAATGGGGTGCGGCGATTCTGCGGTGGTGACGATTATACCGTGAATTACAGTATCCTTCCTCCCACCCACAGCTCCTTCACACCTGAGGGGCATCAGGTAGCTCCCACCCACCAAACTTGCCTATTGTCCCACTTACCCAGTTTCCAATAACTTTTTATTGTTATTGTATGACCTTTTGAGCCATATTTTTAATAATAAAGTGGAGTAGGAATGTGAGAAATAAATAATAATGTTCAATGTAACCCTATACACACTAACTTAAAAAATAAGTCCAGGTGAACTTCAGCAGCCTTTACTTCTGAGTAGGCATGCATAGTATTGCACTTTAACACTTCCAGGTCAAACAGACGGTGGGGTTAAGCCACAGCAACTTGAAAATACTATCATCATAATCCTCAACAAATGGTATCCAATATTTTCATGAAAATATTATTCAGATTTAAGGATGGACTAGTAAAGAACTGCTGAAGCTGTGTAGTTTTACCGAGCCACCTTGTGGAAAGTATCTCTTGTAGCTCCAAATTTACTAAATTATATTGCATGTCAGCTCTTAGAATCTGTTAAATATTGACACACCTGTGGCCCCCACAGCTTTTCTGTTACTGTTAAATATCAGCTGTCAGTACTGATCTTGATGGCCACCGCCATACTGTTGGGAGTGAAACCCTAATGTTGTTATCAGAGTTGATGACTATTTGCACCTGGTGTCAACAGGAAGCGTTTGCCTTCAAAATTCACAGAGGACAAATTGGGATGGGTGAATTATTTCCAGCTGATGGGTGCTGGTTCCGTCCTGGTGTTGCTCTTTCACTAGAGAGCTAAGCTACTTTATAGGCAGAGCAGCCTTGAGAGGCCAGTCTGTACTCTGAGTTGGTCTCTGGAACAGGCCTACGCCACCATGGTTGGATATGGCGAGAGCTGCCTCTAAGCCTTGAGTGTGTTTTTGGTTCAGCTAGGTAGCCGTGTTGATCTGAAGCAGTCAAAATAAAAATAAATAAAAAATTGTCCAGTAGCACCTTATAGACCAAGTTTGTTCCAGTATAAGCTATACCAGAACAAACTTAGTTGGTCTATAAGGTGCTACTGGACCATTTTTTATTGTGTTTATGGTGTTATTGTTTCATCGTGACCCAGGAAGAGCAGCTGATGCTATGTAAAAGTTTGCAGGCTTTATTGCCCATAAAGATCCTTCATAGGGTAAGCCACTAAGGAGCTGCATCGAATACAGCCAGCAATTTTGAAAAGGATGGTTCTTCATAAAGCTTTGATTCATGAACTCATGGTGGGAAGATCTAATTTTGTTTAAAGGCCAGGAGACCAGCAATACGTTCATCTTTGTGTTTTGCCGGACTAGCATATCCTGCTATTGTTTTCCATCCTATAAGGCTTTAGGCTGGAGCCCCAGACCACCCCCACCTGCCACCAGGCATATCCAAGAGTCTGCTTTTCAGCAGAGTCAAATGGTTGGACTTTCCTGGGTTGTACCATTTTAGATGGTGGGGGGCTGCATCTATTAATATCCCCTTCCTCATGGGGGGAGGGGAGCCCTTATGCCTAGAAAAATGTCACCCCCAGTGTTTTCTTCAGTCGTTTTCTAAATGCATGATGTTTCTTAGATAGAATAAGATTCATACATGCATTTTGAGTGGAGCCAGGGCAGAGAGAGAGACTGCCTGAGGAATGCAATCTTTGCAAATTCCGGGATGGACTGACCTCGTCTGCGCCTCGTAGGCTAATGTGCAGATCAGGTTCTCCACTGGCTCTCACATTTCCCAAATTTTCAGCTCAAAAATCACATCACAGTTCCTTTTAGGACTCTTGCTTTGAGAGGAAACATACATTAAGAAACACATCTTTGGAGAGGGAAATACATTTAAGAATACATATAAATGCAAAATTTCATTTAAAAAAAAGCAGATTAATACCTGCAGTACCCTGCTGCATGAAAGCTATAACTGCTCTTCTAACAAAGGGATGATGGCAACCTGTGGTCAGTGAGTAAATTGCCATTGGTCTGATATTGTTCCACTTTTCCCATCAGCCCTTAAGAGGGTGAGGACTTTTGTGTAAGCAGGCATTTGTGTATGTGAAGCTGAGTAAATAAGTTCATAAAGGAAGGTACTTGGCTTTAAAAGATGCACTTCTATATCCATATTATGGCTTTGGTTGTGGTTTGTTGGTTAACATCACAATGCTACATATTGTCACTTGCATCAACAGTGGCTTCTAGATAAGATAACACTATAATGAGGATGAGACTGCATTTTAAATCCTGGTGTTTGCAGATGGAACAGGTTTGTGAAAATGGGTTCCAATTCTATCACCTTCTTCTACCCATAGTAACTTGGGGTAGACCCATCCATAATCAGAAACACGGTTTCCAATGGAACTTGCAGTTCTGTGTTGACATCCCTCTCTCCCTCCCAAACCCCTGACATCATTAAGCAAAGAATTTCCCCACCACTGTTCACCAATGATTCACCATTGGTGGTGGGAGAGGAGTGGATGTGAAAGCCTCAGTTTTACAGCATCAGGGATGAAATAAGTCAAAGCAGGCACGGGAGACGCAACATGAGGTTGCCCTTTCTCATGGTGATGTCATGATGGGTTTCTGCTTCTCCCTGTCTACCCACTGCCACAGACACCCAAAGATTCTTGGGCAGGAGACAGAAAGGTGGAACATCTGTGATACGAGGACAGAGGTTCTTCTAGGTGTTACTGAGGTGGGGAACAGATGCAGAGGAGCCAAATGTCTAATGGCCTTTGGCCCAGAGGCTTCCAGGAGAATGGCGATCACAGAGGTTCCCATCAAGGCAGAGGCAATGTATGTGTGTTGGTGGGGGTGCCTTTGGGGTTCCCAGCAGGCATGTTCAGCCCAGAAAACAAGAACATGCTGACTCGGCATGCTGCTCACCAAGCCAACTTGAGAAGTATCTTCCTCTCTTCCAGCCACTTTCCCCTGCATAAAATCCCAGGGGAAGCAAAGCAGAGGGAGGGCTTTGCCTTCCTGCGGCACTTGCAGAGGGCTAGCAGTTTGTGTCTGGAAAAGTGAAGCATACTTAGCGTGATTTAATTTCTATCTATGCTAATTTATCTTGTTGTCAGTCCCACTCCTTTTCTGAAACAAGGCAATCACCGGCCGTCTTGACCTAGGCTGGAAATGGACATTGGGCTCCTTTCTTGCCGCTCGTCCCTCCGCTGCCGCCACCCGCCTCGAGTATAAGCCATGGGGGCTTTTTCAGCATAAAAAATGTGCTGAAAAAGCTGGTTTATACTCAAGTATATACGGTAGTTGGTAGTTAGAGCGTCAGAACAGGACCTGGGAGACCAGGGTTCAACTCTCTACTCATCCATGAAGCTCACCCTGGGCCAGTGACTGCTTCTCAGCCTAACCTCTGAAAAGCAGATTGTCCTCACAGGGTTGTTTTGAGGAGAAAATGGGGAGGGGCACATGCGCCCCCCCCCCGAGCTCCTTGGAGGAAAGGCAGGATTTAAATATAACTGTAAAATAAAAATATGTCCATGGTATTGCCTGACAACCACCCTAAGAAAATGAAAAAATCAACACTGTGAGAGATTTTGCTTCCGCTGTGAATTTGAAAAGAAACAACACACTCTTTGTTTTATAAAACAATAGCCCTCTCTCTCACACATAAATGTAGGAGCATAATCCCAAATTAACAAGAGCAGGTGAGTCGGGCTCAAAAATCCTTGGAAAGCCAGTTTGGCACACATCCATGCCATTGATCTCTGGATTATCCTCTTTCTCACTAAATGTGTTTCTCGATAATTGTTTCTTACTGAAGGAACAACACCTGTGATATCAGTCAATACAGCTTTGCGGCTTGCGGGGCACACGCCTTGTTTGAGGTGCTCCTGGCCGGAGGCAAAACCTGAGTGCTTACGTCAATGGAATCCACACAGCAGCGCCGTTGCATCGACGGCTGGATTAAGCCCCGGTCAATTTATATATTTATATATTATTTTTGCCTGGCAAGATACGGCACACTTTGGGGAGTGTGGGTTTGCTTTTGTTAGGAGGTGTTAAACCGTTTGCAGTGCTGAGATACTTTTAAGCCTTGCGAGTGAAGCATACACATGTCCAGCAGTGCAGCTCAATAAACTGAGGAGGTGGGGGTCTGCTTGTGCCTTTTTTGAACCCCTGTTGTGTCCACAAGATTATCAGGTAGGCTCCTTCTCCTTCTCTGAGGAGTTTGGAAGGAGCAATCATCTGCTATCTGTATCCAGAATTGAAAAGGGGAAGCAGACATTGCGGACAGGATTTTCACACAATCAAAGGGTTCTACACACACACACACACACACCATCACAGTTCCAGCATAAGTTGAGACTGGGTGATAATTGTCAAAGCTCGTTAAGATGGCAAATTGCAAATGAAAGGTTATTGATGGGGTGTGTGTGTAATAAACTGGCTCTTTACCAAACCCCATTCCCATTCCCTTTGTGTTCACGTCCTCTACTTCAGTACTTGGTTTATTGAGAGGCAATGTGGTGTAGTGGCTAGAGTGCTAGAAATTGAGGTTTGTAATTCCCACCCAGTTGGGCCAGTTGCAGTCTCTCAGCATAGCCTACCTCCTAGGGCAGTTGTGAGGATAAAATGGAGAGAGAGAGAGAGAGAGAGAGAGAGAGAGAGAGAGAGAAGCATACGCCACCTTGAGCTCATTATTATTATTCTGTTACCCTTCCAAGTAGTGAGGGTGGTATTCATAGTTCTCTAACAAGAATTCTGCATGGTAGACCTAGGCTGAGAGATGGTCACTGGCTGGGCTGGCTCCAGCTTGGGCGGTGTGTGTGTGTGTGTGTGTGTGTGTTGGTAGGGGTGGGACATGGGGAGGGGTCTTCAAGGGGCCGCCATCTCCAAGATGCAGTAGCCTCTTGCCTTCTCTCTTTCCGGGCCTCATCTGCACAACTCTCCCAAGGGAGAGGCTAGACATGAGTAGGCAAACTAAGGCCCGGGGGCCGGATCCGGCCAAATCGCCTTCTAAATCCAGCCCATGGACGGCCTGGGAATCAGCATGTTTTTACATGACTGGAATGTGTCCTTTTATTTAAAATGCATCTCTGGGTTATTTGTGGGGCATAGGAATTCGTTCTTCTTTCCCCCCCAAAATATAGTCTGGCCCCCCACGAGGTCTGAGGGACAGTAGACCGGCCCCCTGTTGAAAAGGTTTGCTGACCCCTGGGCTAGGAGATGATCAGAAACTCCTGTTCTGCACTGGCTGCCTGCATTTTTCACATCTGTTTTCCGGCCATTCCTTGAGCATCTTTTGCAACTGCAGAGGTGCCCATTTCTGCCTTTGCATCTCTTCACCCTTCGTCTCCTCCTTTCACCCCTCCCTGCCTTTTGCTGCTTTGGGGGTGGGGTGGGGAGCTGTCTTAAGCCTCCTGTCTCTCCTTCCATCTCTCCATGTATTCCCCGCCACCCCCACCCTGAGTCTGCTGACTCCCGCATTCCTCTTATACTAAATTATGCCCTAATTTCCACCGCCTAAAGATCTCACAGCTGAAGCATTATTTCTAACCGTATTTTGTATTCCCGCTGCATGCTGTAATCTGGTTTGAGTTTTTATTTTCGGCAGAGCTGCTGATGCCGTGGCAGCTTCTCTTTTTGTGTTTTGATTGGGTCGCAAAGAGCACTCCCTCCACAAACACACACCACTCCTTTCCCTAATTCTTTTTCTTTTTTACTGCAGGCCTTGGAGCCTTTGCTCTTCAGCTGAAGCTTTATTTTTAGGCAGACCTTTTCTCCATCTCCCACCATCCTTTCTTGTAATAAACCTTTCAGCAATAAACTAATAAACCCCAATGGTGAATAATTGGACAATTATTTATTTTATTTTTTAAAATGAAAGATCAAGTGAAAACATGTAGTAGGCCAGCCTTACACAACCTCTAGGCCAGTTGCGACACATAACATATCCTTAAGTCAGTTGCAGGGAACCGTTCTTGGGAGGCCGGGGGCCGGTGGTGGGCGGGGCAAGAGGCCAAAGGGGGCGGGGCAATGGGTGTGACTCGGATAGTATATCATTTATATTATTATATAAATGATAATGAAGTCTGCTGTGTGTG